CACCCGGTATACCTAAACTTAGATCGAGCTGAGCAAAAGCGTATATAAACATAATATACAGGATACACGCAGTAACGTATTTAGAGTGACAGGAGGAGGGTAATTTTTGGGGATGTTAAATTTTGAAGAGCATTTCGATATAATACGGTACCTTGGTCATTTGGGGGATAAAAAAAATAATGATACTCAGATAATATCGTGCTTTTTGTTTTACAAGTACACCTATTGCTAAAGAAATTTAGAGTTTTTTTTTCTTACCTRGRGCGCAAAATTCCTAAATACGTCTCTGGGTACACGCAATACACGGAAATCGCTGCATATCTGCAGTATACATATCGCGTAATTAACCTATTTGTGCTAAATTATTGTATTGTTTATTCTACCAGTTTTTAGTTTTTTGAAAGTGTTCGTTTCCTTTTCATAACTTTTGCCACCTGCAAGTACGTCTATAATTGTGATCACCGGTCGAGCAATTTCGCGGTCACCCTGTACAATCAAACGCGCCKCAGTCGGTCATTGWACAGCTGAACGGCGTTCGTTTTTAATAAATATATTTCTTTCTATTGTTATTATTTAATCGCGGACACCGACGCGTCGAGCCACTGACCCGCGCGCTAGTGTGGTCAGCAGCKAGCGCGTGCGTAGCYGTCGAGCACGAAACCCCTTTGCCCACGTCACCCACCCACGTCGACTCGTACACACGCACACACACTTTACTCGTTTACACGCACACGCTCGCACGCAAACGAGTCGTCGTCGTCGTCGTCGCCGACCAGTAAATTCAGTGCCGTTCGACCCGATGGCCGTCGCGTTTGTCAGGTGTCGTCGTCGTCGTCGTCGTCTTCGTCGTCGCCGTCGTCGTCGCGGCGGTTCACAGGCGGAAGTCCGTCCCGACGTTGTTCCCGGTTGTTGATCGACCGGAAMGACAACAAGGCGGCATGCGGGAGAACAACAGCGGCACCGACGGCAGCGGCGGAGACGATCGTACAACGTCATCGTCGTTTACGGTCATCGACGACGACCATCACGACCGCCGGGGCCGTCGCCGCCACCGCGACCACCGCGACCACCGCGATTACCACGGTCACCGAGTTGACCACGGTGACCGCGATAGCCGAGACCACGGCCTGCAGGACCGCCGGGATCAGGATCCGCGACAGTTTGCCCGGACCCTAGACTCGAAGCTCAAAAAGCTGCAGCAGCGACACTCCGGCGACGGCGCCAAGCACGCATCCAGGAAACCCGTTTTCGTGACCACTGTGAAAACGGGAATTTTCCTGGATCCGCCGCCTGATCTGGCCGCACTGCTCGGGCTCGACGACCGTTCGTCTCAGTCCGGCGTCGACTCGGACCGATACTACTCGTACTCGAGCAAGCCGCGCGTCCTCCACGACAGACAAAACCAACGGTGCACCGTCTCCTCCTACTCGTCCCGGAAGACTGACGGAAAACCCGAGTGAGTATGTCAGCGGTGTTTCCCGAGAGTTACTATCTGACGATTTTTCATWTGAAAACATGTATGCCGTGGAGCGGTGAGTTTTCATTTCTGTGAATTTTATGTATACAAGAAAATCCTCGAGGTTAATGTTTTAGACGAATTCGAGCTTATGCGCCAAACTAAAATTACRAAATTACAAACGGGTATACTTAACCTGCAACTCTCTAATAGGTACATGTCAAATTTTTACTCGATTTCGAAARTTTTTCTTAAATTAACCTGCWGTTAGTAGTGTACCAAAAATTAGATATTCTAAAAATTAAATTACACAAAAAAATTGCCTCGTAGAGTTCATAAATACCTTTTTTTATGTATTRGAATTAATTTATAAATGTAATGAATTATCGTTRAAAACAACACGTTTAATATACTATATCGATTGTCAACGGTAGTGTACTCTGGACGAGACGAGAGTTTTGGGACATACGCCTACCTTAAACGATATGTCAAGATTCCGAGGAGCTGCAAATATAAGAAATAATATTCAGGTTTCGCCACTCGTCTCACGCCAATACCTATACGCGACTTAACGCGAACCTACCCGAGTATCGTTGAAGACAACCAAAAATTTAAGTCACTTACCCTAACCTGTGTATAATATTATACGCGTTTATTATTCCGTGTCTCCCGTTAAAAAGAATGTGCAACCTCATAAGCTCTTATTACTGTTGTAGCCAACGGGTTAACCGAAATTTTCAATAACTTTTAACCTGAAACACGGATCGTCTTGTCCAATCGTGTTTWGGGTTAGGTTTGGTCAATGTAGTTTCTTCGAATGGTGTTCAATCCGCAGTGAGGACGATTACTTTAGGGAAAACGTTTTGGGTGTAACGATTAGATAACTCATCGAGTTACTGCGATCGCAGTAGTAGGTTCCCGTCATGTTTATATMCTAGGATTTAAGAAATTTTCATTTTGAGGGGATTTAAAAAATAAACACTGCGCTGATGGCTGTCAACATCTAATATTAGTATGTGCCAATTTAAATTATAAAATTATATAACTTTTTGGTACCTATTTGGAAAAACGTAGTTTATTAATATGGATTTYACGTGTTCCGGATGTTCTATTTTTTTTTCGAATACCTAAGTATGCATAAAACTATAAATGTAAAACTGTTGAGTGTGAGTGGTAATAACTAAAAAATTTAAATTGCAGACCTGCAAGATTGACTTRTCCAAGACATAAAAGAAGAATCCCTACCTAACCTGATATGCAAATATCTTTTAAACAAGATTTATCGTGTAATAAATAATGTACTGTGCTATTGTTACTAACAGAAAAACACTGGTTTTGTTCACGGATTGATGGAATCAACTTATTAAGTTATTTATGACATCGAGTTGAATTGGATTAGGTTTTGTATATTATATAAAACGATTCAGTACTACTGAATTTATATTAGAAATTACAAAAATTACGTGATTTGGTGTAACAGAATGGACATATGAAAAAAGGTTATGAACTTGTATAATATGTTAGTGAGTAAAATAAAAATATATGTCCAGTCATGCCCTATAAAATAGATAGTCGAAAGCCACTGTATGTGTGTGTGTGTACGCGCGCGTGGGCACCATAGGTTTTATACTAAACAATATGTATAATAAAATATTGCATATTATTATAGAGTCGATCATATTGACTACCGTGACCCAACTCACTATATTTTCAAGTGTCTGAGACATTTCACTTCTGTCCTAAAACTGTTTTCAACACACTCAAAGAATATTACAGTTTTCTAGTAGTTATAGCTTAAAAATACATACCTAAACCATATGGATATTGAAATGTGGTAAAAAATGGATCATTGATATTATTAATCGCTGGTAGTTATGGTTTAAACCAAATTCTTAATCCATTAACAACTATACCTGAAAAYACGATTTTATGTGTCCACAGCAATGAGTCGTAGTATTGCTATAAGGTACAATTCGTAATGAATCAGATAATATTCATATTCATATTTTTACGTACTTCTATTATGTTTACAAAATACCATAATATTACCGCATGACAATCAACTTTACAGTGACCAATGACCGTGACCTTTGGCCGTTAAGGATATTATCCTTTGTAGGATTATTTTTAGAAYCAAAATTATACRCTTTATACAATACATGCGCATAGTGCATACCTAYTTATCTGTAACGACTATAACGACTTGTGCAATTTAAGATTGATATCTAACCATAAATTTTCTCGAATGGAGTAAGTAAAATACCTACCTTGTGAGTTGTATAAAAGCAGGTATATTATCTAMAAAATATAATATAAAAAAGATTTCATTATGATAACTACGGTTTATAAGTGTATTTAATTGTATTTACGTCGTAAAAAATAAATAATGAATGCTACAGTAATTATTTTGAACGGCCATTGTTAATAAAATAATTTACGTGAAGGTGCATATACAAATATACAATTTGAGTTGTAGGTACTTATTATAAGTCTATTAATATGGTTATGATGTCCATTGGAAATCAAAATATAATACATCAAACGATAACAATTAATAAATTTTTTACGCATTTATTAAACTTTATTTCGGTCGCCAAAGTAAAATATTATAAATACCTGTAATTTATTATCAAATATATTTTTAATTAATCTAGATAGACAGGTTGAGTGATTTTTAATCAAATGTTAATAATATTTCCTAAGGAATATCGACGAATATAAAAATATGCATTTAGTTTTTACCGATGGAATGTAGTAGTTGTCAGAATCRAAAAATCCTCAATYTTGAAATGTGTGTTCCACTTTAAAAAAAAAACCCAAAAATATTTCCCGGGTTTTGATGATTTATGTCGGTTAGGCTCAAATTCCTCCAGATTCCTATATATATATAGAGAGCTCATTGTCAATTTCAAGCAGACATTTATTGTTATTGGTAATGATATTATGACACCTGTGCAATTTTAAAAACTATTATTTTGAATCGTTTGGATATAAA